CTAGATGATATTGCCACCTTTGCTGAATCCCAGCCACCACTGGGCATGTGACTTTTTCACGCCCGCCTCACCGTCCTTCTGTGTCCCCCATCTTATTTCTTCTCTCTTCTATCCCTCTCCTTTTTAATTCTGTTTAATAAGAGTCAGGCTTAGTTGGCCAAGACTGCATATTTTGCAACACTGCTGTAAGCCTGTGACCAGAAAGAGGCAGCTAAAAGCACTGTCTTACATAGCCTGAGCCTGGTACAAGTTTGCCAGGTCTCGGAGTGGCTGATAAGAATGTGTGCTGTGCCTGTGTTTTTCCAGCAGAGAGATTGTGGGTGAGAGAAGCTGCATTTTCTATCTTTGCGGTTTTTGTGTGTGTTTGTCTTATTTTGTCTGCTCAGGAAATGGGATCGGACTTTAACAACAGCAACGACAACAGCTCCAGCCCATCTCAACTCACTTCTCTCTTCCCCAAAAGGACAGTTATTACCATCTTTAATGTCACCTAAGAGACTGTCAAACAGGGTATTTTCCATCTAAAACCTCTCTCCAGCTAAAGGGATAGGGAACAAGGGATTTTTCTGTATCTTTAATAAAAGGTTGAAAGGATTTTCAATGGTGTGTTTGCCATGGTACTAAGCAAGCTGAGGCCTCTGTACCCCAAACCTCAAACCTGGTTTAACATTGTTTAACTTTGGACAGTGACTGAGTTATGTTAACACCTTTGGCCCATTTATTCCATCTAAATTAATAAAACACTCCTCAACATTGGTTTGCCCCCTCTGCCCCTGATTTTCAGAAGTCTAAATGCTTCATTATGTCTTCCACTCTTTGCCCCACATTTGGACACGGTTATTAAGGAAGCAAACTTTGCCACCCAGGGAAGGATGCATTTAGCCCCGTTAAGTTAATGAGCTGTGATGTGTTTTATTTCTTTAGAGGAGCAAGTGAATGTTATTATTTCTCCGAGTGTTCCAGGAGAGGGCTGCACACTTCATGGCAGATGGTTTGGGGGAAATTCAGGACTGGGAGTGTGGTGGGGTCACCCCTGCATAAGATAGCTGGGTGATAGAGACTAGGATGGGACTGTCATGTTGTAGGCAGGCTGCTGGGTCAGAGCGCTGAACTGGGGCTGCCTAGCACACAGACACTCAAGGAGGTGCATGCTTGTCTGCTTGCTGTTGGTGTCCAGGCTGTGAGTCATAGCCGCAGAGCAGTTAAAGCACCCAGGGTTACCAGGCAGGTGATGACAACTCCTCACTGGTCTGGACTGCACCCCAGAGTGTGACTTTCCCTCTTCAGTAAAACTTGTCACATCTCTGATTTCAGTTAGTGCTGTCGTGACTGAACAGCCTTATGCATGATTGGATACTGCAGCAAGACTGTTAAACACATCTTGGACCATGTCTCGAGGATGTGAATTCCAAGACAACCAGGCCTAAATTCTGGTTACTGATTGACAATGTACATTATAATAGTTTGTTTTCAAAACATTTCTAGTAATGCTAGGATGAAAAATCTTGAAGAGTTAATTTTTATTGGGAAAGACATAATTTGCTCTAGAGTATAGTCCCTAAAATGTTCTTAAACTACAAACTAATCTGAGACATAACAATAACCAAAAGCCATAGTTCAAATTGTTGCTCATTGTTATTGCTATTAAACTGCTGTTATTCATTGTATAAACCTACAATGTTTTGGACCCTATCTTTTTTTGTAGTGTGCAATGCTCCAAACAGCTGTTAAATGGAACAAAAGCATAATCCATCAGCATCAATTTGAATAACTATAAACATCCCATTTCCTTGAAGACAAACATGGCATAGAATATGATCTGGAGTTGCCTAAATTTAACATTGGAATGATATCGTTCCTATATTTAAAAAAAAGCAGCATTGAAAACTTTGAATTTTATCCAAACTTCAAAGCTGGCATTTGACACAGATGTATTGTTTTCTGGCTTGGTGGATACCAAATGTAGAAGAAGATTTAAAATTTGTATTTCTTGCATTGATGCTGGTTAAATAATCACCCCCAGGTTATGCATGTATTCTGAGGCTGAAGGGTCAGAAAGATGAGAATCTCTGCTATTCATAGACTGATTCCTGCTGGCAGAGTTTAGGCCCAGTTACTGGGGAGATGATAGAAGAGTTAGCTGGTTTTATTTAATATTTATATTGTTATATCACTGGGAGGCCTTGAACAAGATCAGGGACCCAACGTGCAAGGTGCTGTGCAAATGCAGCCTGTCTAGAAGAGCACTCCATAGCTGCAGGTTCAAAAGAGGAAGAGTGAGATCCCTGCAATTGCTAGCAGGAAAATCTAACTTCAATCCTCAATAAAATGAGGGGACAGGCAGAAAAATCAGTGATGATCTAAAGCATGAGCTCCCCAACTTTTTCACGGCCTGCATCACATCTTAATAAAGTGCCTCTTGGACAACTTCCCTTCCCATTGTCAGTTGAGTAACATCCTGCGGCAGCTACAGCAATTGCTTGTGTGGCAAAATAACAAGGCTATTTAAAAAGTAATTGCTCAGTTTAAAGGCTTTCATAAAAGGGTGAGACTGTGCAGTTTTGGCCCACCACAGAGGAAGGGCTACAATAGAGTGGCACCACCCTAGCGGGAGGTATGTTGCCTTCAGAAGCCAGAATACTTCCTAGAACTCCCAGGCATACACAGGCTGCACAGCCACTACTAAAACCTCTTCCTTCAATGTGCCAGTCCTATTTCAAGGGCCACTGTGTGACAAGGGTTGCCTGTACATGGCCTGGCCTTCTCCCTGCCTCTCAGGGTATCGTACGCTCACCATGACTCAGGGACTGCAATGCTGCTTGGCCTTTATAAGGGAATGGATCCTTCTGTCCTATCTTCAGGTTCACCTACATGAAGTTCAGGAGGAATTAGACCCTAGATGATTTAATTGGTAACTTTCTGAAGATTGACAAGAAAGGTGCCATTTAGGAAAAGAAAAAACAAGTGATTGGCATGAAGTTTTTTAGGGTGGCCTCCTCCCTCCCCCTCCGCATAGTACAAGCGCTTGCTAGTGTTCTTTTGGCACTTTGAAAGTGACAAACCCTGGAGGGAGTAGAAGATCAGAGAAGTCTGGTTATAGGAAACAAAAATGCTTTCTCTGATTGGATTCAAGACTTTTAAATCTGAACCTAACCAAAAAATGTTTTTCCTTTTCAAAAAGCCAGGCTATTTTGAGCACATTCATATTTCTGTGACTCTCAGTTAGTTTCAAACAGTAATGGATGGCCGCAAATCATTCCATTCAAGGACAACCAGGGAGGTGGATTGGGATCAGATGTGACGAGGCCTGGCTGTAATGCTGATCCTCGTATGTTTTTCCATACTCCATTCACTTTCAGTCTGCACTACTTACTTGTTTTAGATCAAGGGAAACAGCAACAAGAAAGAACAAAAGTAAAATATCCATAGGGTGTACATGTCTCGTTTGTAACTGCCTACAGGAATTCTGAGACCAAAATGGCTGCTACTTCTAGACAGGACTTGAAAAAACTACTCACCCAGAAATGTTTCCCAGGCAAGTGGGCTAATACAGGCAAAGGAGCCTTTGGTCCCTCGTGATAGGTGCTGCAGCACTGTTTCAAAACAGAAGGAGAGAAGCAGAGAGACAAAGGCATAGGTGCCCTTGCTCCTTTCACAGGAGGGCAAGCAGGCAGGAGTAGAGCAGCAGGAACCCTTGCGCTCCTCCCTGAGAACAGACCCATGTGGAGAAGAGCTGCTAATACAGACAGTTTCCTACACATCCCGCAGCCCCAGAAGAGTCCAGTATTTGTTCATTTATGGGAGGTAGGAAGACCAGAATTAGTTATTGGGAGTGAGGGAACCAGTCATTAGTTAAATACAGTGGTGGAAGATCAAAAGTCCAGTTTTGACTAGTGAAGGCAGAGGGAGAGTCATGTATCTAACTTGAAACAAATGCAAAACAATACATCTGGGAAATAATGTTTCGCTCAAGCTTGAGCTAAAAATTATCTCCATTAGCGGTCATTAGTCATTGCATTTCATAGCTTCATAGAATTTAAGGCCAGAAGAAACCATCAGTCTGACCTCGTTTGTATCACAGGCCATTAGTTTTCACCCATACACTCCTATATTAAGCCCAAAGACTTTAGTTACACTAAAGCATTTCAGTCCTCAGGAGACTAAACTGTGTCACAGGGAGAGACCAAAATGCCACCAACATCCATGGCCCCTGGAATGGCAGGGAATTGATTAGGTGAGATATCTCCAGATTTTCATTGAAATGCTCTCCAAACCATTAGCCACTGATGGGGCAAGACCATCAAATATTTTCTCCAGGCCTGTTTTGCCTATAGAAATGAATGCACACACAAAATGCTGCTCTGGCACAGTGTATACTTGCCATAGAAACTGCTCCATCGTATGTCTACTTAGCTAAATCATATTTCCCTACAAGAGTTTCAGATCATGAAGTGGATGGCAAATATACATAATCCATCCCTTCTGGGACATGAACCTTGGATTCAGTTGAGTGCTAAAAGGAGTAGCACTGACTGCTACTGTGGCAGTGCAGGTACCATCCAAGAGACATCATATCTGATATACAATGAAATATTGTAATTTTAAAACGGGGACTACAGGAGTTTGAATTTATCTAATCATTTGGGCCAGTTCAGTAAATCACCCCAGAAGAAGAAAATTATTAGTGGACTTTATTCTAATCTAGTGGCATGCAAAATGTTTATATGCCTTTACCTAATATCAAGTCAGGTTTGAAGAGTCCCATTCTAACGTGATGTGCTATGTGAGTGTCAATTTGAAAAATGTGGCCACATGTTCCAAAAAAAAGTCAGCTTGCATTAAATATATAATGGCACCGTGTGCCAGCAGAACCAACCTGCAAAATCTTATTCCAATTTACTGAAATGGAGAAATAACATTGTATATGCATAACGATACGCGTCTAAACTGACAACACCGGAGGTACACCCTAAAAATGAAAGGAGTCAAAAGAGTCTCACCCAAGAAGGAGATATGGAGGAGTGATGGAAAGGGCAGCAGAGATGGAGAAAGCTGAATCTCTGAGTCTGGGAGAGCTTCCATGTCAGAAAAGAAATGACTCACATTCTGAGTTGCTAGGAAACAGCTAGGAAAAACACAGGAGCTCTAGAGTGAGAGTTAACTGGCATTACAACACTGCCTAGTGAGTGAGATGGCTGCCAGTCTTTAGACTAGATACATATCTAGACTAGGGTGACCAGATGTCCCGATTTTATAGGCACAGTCCCGATTTTTGGGTCTTTTTCTTATAAAGGCTCCTATTACCCCCCACCCCCGTCCCGATTTTTCACATTTGCTGTCTGGTCACCCTAATCTAGACACATACTATTGATTTTTCTCTCAGCTTTCTTAGAGGCATTGCTTACTTTAAGATACTTTTGGAATTAGGCAGTTATTGTGCAATTACTGTGGGCTATTCTTGAAAACAAGAAAAATAAATGTCTGACCTCTGGCTAGAGGTGGAGGGGGTGGATTTACCTGACCTGCACTCTTGTTCACTGGTATACAATAGGAGGGTGTCCAGTCCCAAAGGTGCTTCCAGATGCTTAGAGTCTGGGGACAGCCTGGTTATTGAGGGGGATGGCAGGAATTCAGGTTACAAATATCTTCTAATAGACATCTAGCTGGTGAAGGGCAAGGCCATCCCAACTTTTTCAGCGAGAAGTCTGTAGTTTACCAATATGCTGGTTGTTAGACAATGGAAATGTAGATTGTGAAACCAAAAGGAAGGCTAAAATAAAGCACACTATAGTATCAAGAGAATATATTCTGCTCTCGAGTTGGAATAGACTCAATGATTTCCTGGGTCTGTTCCATTTTTAATTACTATGGTCTGGTGAGAAGAGTAAGCAGCAGGTCAAGCCAGAATAAATTGGATTAAAAATCCCAATGCGTCTCCTTATTTCCTTTTCTAACACTGATCCTTTACCATTAGGATTTAAATCTGACCGTAAATGAGTTAAATAGAACATTCATAATACCTTGTAAAGCAACTTGTCCCCTGAATCTCTAAAGAAATAATCATATTTGTATTTATATAATATGGCACTTTACAAGTTTGCTAGGACTCAGGAGTTCCTGACTTCCAAACCTATGCTCATTTCCCTAGACTTACTGCCTCATCAAATAATGGGAAATACTAACCTTTACAGAAATGTTCAAACTATTTAATTGCAATGCTACTGTCATGCACCTGATTGGCCAAGTTTTCAAACAGGCATATGTACAGTTTAAGCATGCAGATACCCCAGTGAGCATGTGCAAATCAGGTTTTCTACACACACATTTATGTCAAAACTCCGACCTGTGCATGCACACAAGAATATTGCCCAGGAGAATTTTGCAAGCATGCACTGCTAAAAATTTGGCTATCAAAATAACCTCTGATAGGTGATTAAATTGTGTTCTAATTCTAGTTGTTTACTTTCAATGGCTATGCACTGGTTTTTCAAATACTGGTTTGGTGAGCTGTACTTACTCAAAAACAGAGGTGCACTGCCATATAACAATGCAGTGTGTATCCTGTTTACAGTACAAAAGAATTAGCCAATCTGTTTGTTTATGCATGATGTTAGCTGGTCTACTGCTGTAATGGGAGTGCAAAGATTATGGTTTTAGTTTGCAATGTGTTTAACTTGTTTGTTTTGAGGCTAAATTACCAGACCATCTTGTTAAAGAAAATGAGAACCATTCTTAATGGGCCCTTTGTAATATGATACTAAAAGTTAGACCTGTCCTTCAAACATATCTTGAAACAAGGCTAGCTACAAGTGTTACACTTGAAAGGAAGTTTGAAGAGGCCACTGAAAAGAAAGCTAGTATGACAAAGGAGATTTAATTATAACTTAAGTTACTATCTAGTGACACCACTTAATGCCAGAGCAATGCCTATGCACAATTTCTCTCTCTCTGTCTTCGGAGAAACAACTGCACTTGATTCAGTGTTTGGCATGGAGAATGTATATAGTCTTTAATTTCACATTGGCAAGATGACATTTTAGAATTATATGGTTATGGTAAAGTACAGCAGTAATAGAATACCATGGCCATGCTCAAGTATGTATAACTAAATGAAAGCAAAGCTTTTCAACCCTTCAAAAATCAGCAGAGGGAACATGGTTTTGAGCCTCCATTCTAGATTTGCTGCTTCACAGGAGCAAATCCTTACTCTTGATTTGAAAGGTTCACAAGCTTAGGCCCAGATTCTGATACCTTACCTGTCTTCATGCTGAGCAGAAGTTTATTCCACAAATGGGCCCCTTAAACTCAATGGGACTTGTTGTAGCATAAGGGATGACTCTCTGTGAGTAAAGGGTAGAAGAATCTCTGCTTGAAATGCACGTTTGAGCATGGGCAATGATAAAACAAGCACTAGCAAAACTAGGGGCCAGATTCAGCTGGTGTAAATCAGCACTGTTCCAATGGCCCTAACCTTTAAAAAAACAGTGGGAGAGGATTTGCTTCAAAGAGGACTGAATTCAAAATGGCAGCCCCTCAAGAACTTGTAGTTCATCCTGAGGGAAGGCAACAGCCTATGTTAAAGAAACACCATATGAATCCTCATGAAGGGATTCGGGAGGGTTAATGGAGGGAAAAAGTGGAATATATGATCTTCAAAGGAAAAAAGTTGAGCATTTAATATAATGGCTTCACAACCCATAATGTTTAGAAACTTGAACCCAACAGAGTCAGTAGGGTATTTTTAAATTAGGAGTGTAGAGTTTTATTATTTAAAAGGTTTTATAAAAGTGTTCTAAATAGACCATGGAATTGCTACAGCAAATTTTTTCTGTTGGAAATTACTCAGCCATTTGGTTTTTATTTTTGCAAAAAAAGAACAAGCCTTTTGAACACGCATTTGATATGCTTGTTGATGCATCACAAAAAGGAGATATGCTTTGAATTCCCTTAAAAACCCCGTGTAAACACATGGCTTATGTATAATTGCAACAAAATACCATCTCCATATAGAGTGCTTTCACATGTAATTTCCTCTCTGACTACTGCATGTAAACATAGTTATTGTATTTGGGGAAACTCCCAGGCCTTAAGTAGTGCAACTGGGATCAATATCTTACCAAATGCAAATTATATTTTAAAATGTCCCTGTTTTGCAACAAGATGCCTGAATGGTAACAGAAAAAGAAACAGTGACAAATGCACTCTCTCATATAGGAAGGTTCAGAGGTATTTGGCTGATGGTTCCACTCTCCACTGTCTTGTGTCACAGAATTTCTCCATGTGTAGCACATGTATTTTCCAGATTAAAAAAAATAGAAGAAAAAGAAAGATTTCTATTCCAAAGAACATAACTTTGGCAACAGGAGCACAGAACTTAAAGGTCATACAAATGTTCAATATACATCAGGCTTTAAAGATGACAGGCATTTAAAGCAAATTTGACTGAGTTCCATTTAGTTCATTTTGACTGACCATATATAGCATCTACTGCAAGGGGACTTTTTTGTTTATTTCTTAATTCCATTGTTATGTACTTTTTAACACTTAAGAAAAAGGTTAGAAATGTCAGTTGTAAATACCATGAAAGTATTGCTTAAAAACATCGTGATCCAAAATCAGAAGGAAAATGGTCATAGGAAATCACAGAGATTGGAGTTTGTGTGTGTGGTTGTGCCGTTTGAGATTTTTAAAGTAGTTTTGGAGTTAGACATGCATCTTTAAATTGAATGGAAAAATATATATTTAAATTCCTTTGTTTAAGTTCTTGCTTTGAAAATCTCAACCTTTATCTCTAAAGGAGAAAAGCAATCAGGGCTGGATTTAGGGGCAGATGACCCAGACAATCATCTGGGGTGCTGGACTTGGGGGGCGCCGGGCTTGCAGTGCTGTTTTTGTTGTTAGTGACAAAAGGGAAAAAAGCTGAAGTATTGTGAACCTTGTTTTATTGTGAAAGTGTACTTGTGTTTTAAGACTTGAAGAATGTAAGTAGTGACTAATAAAGGACATATTTAATGAGACGCCAGAGATGTCTATCAAACCCCTATCTACGCAACAATCTAAAAGAAATGTTGTTACTTCTTTTGCCACGCTTAACACATGTTTGATGACTTTCTAAGACTAAGGAGTAAAGACTTTTGCTCTCCCTAATACTGTCTATTTTCCCGCATAGAAAATAAAAGATGCCCTCCAAAAGGCCTTCAGGAGCTCAGTATAGGAAGCAAAAAGCTCAACTGCAATCTCGTTTGGGGCAAATTTGATGGGAAAATATCTGAAACAGAACAACGTAGACCAGGCTTTAAGCAGTAGTGATTGTCCCAGTGCAGAAGAAATTGAGGAGTGAAGCACAAATGATGGAAGTCCTATTACTAAGGATTTAGCAGATTTACCTGAAGATAAGGAATGAAATGTGAGGAAGGTGATGGAGAATTGTCCAGTTTTCCTGGTGGTGTAAAGGAGAGTGATGATGAAGAAGAATGTGGCTCACATGAAAAGGAGAGTAATGACAAAGAATAATCTGTTTTCCATAAAAGGGGAGAAACAACAAAGAAGAATCAGCCTCACGTGATGGCAGAAGCAACAGTGAGAAAAACTGCATGCCACAAATTGATACATCAGATCCTGCTTTATAGCTGGCAATCCTAAACTCTGCCGATATTGATTGTATAGGCTGGGCAAAATCAAGGATATGATGTTTCCAGTAAATGAGTAGAAGCAATACTTCTCAAAGTCATACGGCGAAAGAGTGCTCGCGAATGGTGAGAAACTAAATTGACACTGGCAAGTGTACTCGAAATCAACTGACAAAGTGTTCTGGTTTTGTTGCAAAATATTTGACAAGAATGCTAAATCATTGCTTGCACTTTCCAGGTACAATTACTGGCATAACTTAGCTGATGCTCTGAAGTAACATGAAAAGTCACCCGGCCAAATCTAGCATTGGAGGAACAGGCTTGAGCGTCTAATCTCAATTACCCTCTTCCTTGCAAAGAATAATTTGGCTTTCTGGTGCTCGTTGGATTAGTTGTTCACTGAACATAAGGGTAATTTCCTTGGTTTGGTAGAGCTTCTTGGGAAATACGATGATGTCATGCG